GCTATAGGTATGTCAGCAAATGAAAAACCCATTGGACTCTACTTATCTCATCTCATATCTGGAATATTGTGTTCACTTGTAGTCACCACAGGTTAGAAGGAAGTCATTAATAATTTTGAGCATGAATATGAGGACATCCAGGTTGGTAAAGAGCCTTGAATCTGTGCCATATGAGGTTAGGTTGGAGGAACTTGTATTGCTCAGTCTACAGAAGAGAAGACTCAGGAACATGATGGCAATCTTTAGGTATTTGAAGGGCTGTCATATGGAAGAAATATCAGACAGATTCCTTTTGGGCCCACAAGGAAGAACTAAGAGCGGTGAGGAAAAGCTGAACAAAAGGCAAACGTAGGCTTAATATCAAGAAAAGCCATTGTAAGGTGTAATGGGCGGCCCCCAATGTGAGAATTTTGCCTTCACTGGAGATCATCAGATAGAGACTGGCTCAACATCTCTCTGGCACCGGAACTGGGATTCTGTATCGTGTGTGTGTTGGACTGGGTGGTTACTGAAGTTTGTTTTACCTCTAAGACCCTTTGATTCATTTGAGAGATGTAAAATTAAGTCCAAACTGTGAGGGCCTGTTGATATTATCTAAGTAAACGACAAATCCAAGGCCCCTTTTGGAGGCTGCTGTGAAAAGCCAAGCAAAATCAGGATGAAATCAGTCACCTAAAGTAATATTTTCAAAAGATGTATTCATTTGACAAAAGAATTTTTTTTATCCTTTAAAAGTGCTTCTTTCTTTCATTCTCTTTCCTTTTTCTTCTTTCTTGCTCTTTCACTTTCTTCTTTCCTTCCTTCCCTCCGTTGTTCCATCTCTTCTTCTTTCCCCTCTTTCTTTCTTCTGTTCTTTTGTTTTTTCTCTCCATTTCTTTCTCTCTTCTTTCTTTCTTCTCTTCCTTTTCTCTCTTCTTTATTTATTTTTTCTTTCATTCTTCCCCTTTTCTTTCTAATTTAGTCTCTTCCTTTCTTTTCTGTCTTCCTCCTACCTTCCTTTCTCCTTCCTTACCTCCCTTTTTCTTTCTCTCTTTCTTTCTTTCTTTCTTTCTTTCTTCTTTTCTTCTTTCCTTCCTTCTTTCCTTTCTCTCTTTCCTTGCTTCCTTTCTCTCTTTCTTTCCTTCCTTTCTCTCTTTTCTTCCTTCCTTCATTCTTTTTTTTCTTTCATTCTTTTTCTTTCTTTCTTTCTGTCTTTCTGGCATGTGCGTATCTGTGTGATCACTGTCAAGCCATTGTTTTTCTGTTCCTAAAACCCTTTATCATTGCAAAATTACTTTCTAAGTGGAGATTATTTTCATCTCCATGAATCTATTTTTGTATTTCCAGGATCTGGTATTACCTATGATTTGGGCCTCATTATATGTGACATAATGCATGATGGCAACAGCTTTACGATTTCCTGAACTGCAGAACAAAGCAGTGGGATGAGAAAAATGCATTTCCTCTTTGGATTCCCTTTCAGCACATCCCAAGATATGCTAGGTGTCACTAGACGATTCAGCTTCTTGCTGTTTAAAATGCTTGTTTTTCTTGGCTTAACAGGAAGAAAGGGGAAGGCAAGGACAAATGAAAGAAACTTTTTCTCTAAGCAAGCAAGCATGTCTCCTTCTGTGCTTTGCCTATTGCTTCATTCTATAACTCAGCGAAATAGATTATTAGGCCAAATGTAGTGTGTTTTTGCTAGTTTTACACATAATATTAATGTAATACCTTTGTGTGGTCCTTGCTATTTCTTTTATAAATACTGATAATGCTAAATTGTATTTGCTGTGATAATGACATCTACCTAGTCATCATTGTTGAAACTGGCAATTCCATTTTAGAGGGATATTTCTCACACTCAGCCAAATCACAAAAAGAATATTTCATTTACATATGGTTCCCTGTAGGAGATTGCAAATGCATTCTGTGAGTTGTCTTTATCCATAGGGATGCTGCTGACCTAACAGTTTTACCACACACACACACACACACACACACACACACACACACACACACACACACACATTCCTTGACTAGGAAGGTAGAGGGGAAGGCTCTCAGCCAGCCTGTGACCCAATGGGTACTGTTATGTGTTCTTCTCAGGGCCCTGCAGTGACAAAATGAGTTATGACCAACCCTATACGGACTCTCCTCTTGAGCCAAATGCAATGTTAGGGCAATGTAAGGGTGTGGGATGACAAATAAAGTCTGACATTGAGATCATGCCCAAGAGAGTTATCTTGGCATGAGAATTCTATTTTGTATGCCCTTAGAGGCCTTCTTTTGCTATCAATTTATAGTTCCATTGGCTTCAATGGGAAGACCCATTTTGGGTTTGATCATGAGACCTCAGGGTTACACTTTAGCATAACCATCTGAATACTTACCCAAATGCCTTCACCTGTACAGAATGTGGCTACTCAAAGGTGTCCCAAATATTCCACACAACCATATCTCCGTGCTTTTCTATGGTTAAACACTTTCTATTTTATGCTGCTCTTGATTTAGCAGGGTCTACAATGGTATTTTAGAATTAACGTTCAGGCTTAAGGTTGTTGGCATTCAGGGTTCTGCTCAGAGCCTGGCTATTTAATCAGGCCAATGTTTTGGTAGAGTGTCTGCAAACCACAGTCCTAGATATTTTTCTTGGGTCTCAGTGAGTCATAGCTGCCATTAGGTTTTAAATACCTTCACAACCTTCAAGGGCAACACCTGGGAACACCATGGCAATTACATATAAAATTGAATCTAGTATTTTACTTTTTGGAGATGAAAATGCAGTATTGCATTTTTGTCCTTTTACCTCTCAATTTGCAACAGATGGAAAATTTTCCAGCAGACTGGATGTGCATTGTTGTTAAACATGGATAGGATAAGACATATGTGAGCCCTAGACAAGGATTGAGCCCCAGTGTATTCCTGGCCACCAGAGGCATTGAGCCTTCACTGTATAAACACATGCAATTTTCCAGAGCACAGAAGCAATGCCTACTGTATGTGCCATAGTAAGTGTAACCTTCTGACACTAAAAACAAATGCATGTATACATATATATGTGTGTATATATACATATGTGTGTATTGTTGTTCAGTTTTTTCAGTCCTGTCTGACCCTATTTGTGACCCCATTTGGGGTTTTCTTGATAAAGATACTGGAATGGTTTGCCATTTCCTTCTCCAGCTCATTTTACAGATGAGGAAACTGAGGTAAACAGTAAAATAAAATTCCTAGGGATTGGAGCTATCCTTTTGCTTATACCAAATGAGATCTTGCTGTTGATATACTATCCCACCAGCACTCATACGTATTTTAAGGCTTTAAGGAAATGGAAAGAAACTCATCTTTAGAAGAAAAAAAAAGATTGAGTCTCTTTGATTTAGAAAATTAAAAGCAATGATATCTATCTCTTCCACCTAGAAATGTGACCTTTCCAAAGCCTCTTCTCTGTTTGGAATTTGTGAGCCCAGAAAACCCATGCATGAGAGACTGTGGATTTCCTTAGATACGAATTGAATCATACAGCTTCTTTTGTGGCAAGAATAATTTATAGGCATTAATCTTGGTTAACCAATAGAAAATCAACACTTTAGAGAATCTCAGTTATTTATAACTCAGTACTTCCAAAGAATTGTGACTCTATCAGTGGGTAATCCCTCCCTTGATGCAGATCTCAGCCCCTTTGCATCACATTCCAAATAGGTCAAAAGTATTCAGTATCTGGTGGACTACCTTTTGGAAATAGGTCTCTCTGACCTTGACTTTGCTAAGTTGGTCTTTGGATCCATCACTAAGCCTCTCCTCAAAACCTTTTCAACTTGATAAGAAGTCTAGATCTAGAGCTGGAAGATACTTGAGGGACCATCTAATTTAATCTCTTAATTTTACAGATAGGGAAACTGAAGCCCAGTAATCTTAAGTAACTTGTCCAAGGTCACACTCAGAGGTTGTTTTTGGTATTTGAACGCAGGTCCACTGACTCCAAATAGACCTTTTTTTTCCCCTCTATGCCACACAGTTTCCTAAATTTTCTGAGCATACATATCCTTAAAGAACCTTTGACACAATAAGGCATCCAGGTGTGATTTTACTGAAGGTGGCAATTTCTTCTGAATGGAGCAGATCATTGTTATCAATAGCTATTATAACATATTCTGAAAATATTTTTCTAGGTCATTCAAATGTGGGACAACTACATTGAAAAGAAGTATAAATATTAACTTACACCCTCCCATTTAGCTACACATTGGCCACAACAGGATGCATGCCTTGGGCCACAACCTTAGGCCTTGAAACCACATATACTCATATTACACCTCAAAGTGATCCTTTACTCAATTCCAGAGTCCCCAAATGGGGAGCTGGAATTGAAAAAGGGAGAGTTAGAAGGTGTTTGAGAAAAAGAATTGCTTGGAATGACTTGAGCATGTGTATGAAAGTCAAGTCAAGGAATATCAGTGAATAGAGAAGCTATATAACTCCTTTAAAGGTAGAGAACAGCAGTAGAAAAAAAAATTCTTCTGTGAATAATGGAAAAAAAAAACTTGCTGGAGAATAATTTGAAGTTGAGCTATGGACACAGGGTCCCTTTCCTTTTGAGTGTTTCTTTAACAAAGAAGAAGAGAGATGAAAGAAATGAATAACGCTATACTTAATGGCCGAAGGTGAAATACATTTTCAGGAAGAAATACAGTTATCCTCAGCTCTCATTTTCCTCAACTATAAAATGAGAATAATAATAAAAGCTACCTCTCAGGATTGTTGTGAGGATTGATTGAGATAATATTTGTAAAGTGCTTGACCCAGTGCCTGGCATATAGTAGGTATTATATAAATGCTTATTTAACTCGCTCTCTCTCCCTTCCTGTGATTACTGCACAGTCTCATCTGTATGATTCCTCAACAGACAGCGTCTTAGCAAGTGGCTAAGACAGCCTGTGTGATCGTGGTGCTTATTTCCCAGGTTCATTTAAATTCAAATTGGGGGCTTCACTCTTCTGTATTTCCTCTTCTAATTTCAGATGACAATACACTGCACGGACCAATTTTCATCCACGAACCAAGCCATGTGATGTTCCCATTGGATTCAGAGGAGAAGAAAGTGAAATTGAATTGTGAAGTTAAGGGGAATCCCAAACCACTTATCAGGTTTGTGAAGTTTAAAGCAAAGGTTGCCAGTTACTCTTATTACCTGATAAAATATTTATTGATCACTTATAATGTATAAGAATGTTATACATGTATATTTATATAATGTATGTTGAGATGGACATAAATATATACATCCAGTATTTGTCACCCATAATGTATAAGGCATTCACATACACATGATGAAAATATGCAACTGGTGAAATACACATGATGAATACATGCATAATTATACATACAAGAATCATGTGCATACAAATCTACACATTTGTGTACACAAATGTGGTTACAAATAATGCGTACATATAATTGGTATACTCTTACACGACATGTCCCAAAAGTCTTAGTGCATTTTAAAGCTATTAAAACTTAAAATGTACTAAGACTTTTGGGACAACCTGTACTTGGGTACATATATGGCTATATGCATATGTATGTCCATTATGTCAGCAGCATAGAGAGTTTCTAGTAGAGAGAAACTCTTTTTGTTATTGTAGATGGGCAACACTTGGGTAAATTTTGGTTGTGGAGAGTTGCTTGGGGGAAATGAAAAGTTGAGTTGGTCAATTACTGAACAATAAGTGAACATTTATTAAGCACTCACTATGTTCCAGATACTGTGCTAGGCTCTGGGGATACAAATAACAACCAAAATAATGCCTGAAAAGAGCTAGCATTCCTGTTAGGAAGACAACATACATACAGAGTAGGTGGAAGATAGCCTTTGGTGGAAGGCTGTATGAGTTGGTGAGGAGCAGGAAAGGCCCATTGCTGAAAGTAGCATTTGAATTTAACCTTAAAGGATTTAAGAGGTCTAAGAGTTAGAAGTAAGGAGGCAGGGCATTCCAGGCATGGGGATAGCCAGCAAAGGCAAAGAAATGGGAGATAGAGTGCTGTGTGGGATTTGACCATTGTTACCCAATTAATTGACTTTGGAGTCTAGGCTTAAAATTTATTCCTCCTTAGTTCCTGGATGGCCGGTCAGGTTTATTGAAGTTACTGTTGTTTACAAATTACATTGTGCTGATTGTATAAAGTATTATATACTAATACTATAGAAAGCCCCTTAAAAGAGATACGTAATCACTAAAACTATCCATATAGGAAAAACCAAGTGGATGAAAAATGACTATTGTCCAGACTATAATATACAATTCAATGTACAACCTAGAGATGGGAGAGAGAGAGACAGACAGAGAGAGAGATGGCCAAAGAGAGACAGAGAGACAGGGACAGAGACAGGGAGAGAAGGGGAAGGGAAGGGAAGGGAAGGGAAGGGAAGGGAAGGGAAGGGAAGGGAAGGGAAGGGAAGGGAAGGGAAGGGAAGGGAAGGGAAGGGAAGGGAAGGGAAGGGAAGGGAAGGGAAGGGAAGGGAGGAGAGGAAAGAATGAGAAGCTTGGACAGATATTACCAATAGACAATAAGGGCTATTTATAGAACTTATAAATAGACAACAAGGTGCTAGAAAAGACCTTGGAAACCACATAGTGCAATTACCTCATTTCACAGATAAAAACATAGACCCAGAGAGGGACAGGACTAAGATTCAAATCCAGGTGCTCTGTCTCCAGATATGGCACCATCCTGCTTCAAAGTGGAAGAGAAAATTAGATTGTCTTTAGGAAACTGCACAGTACTTTTAATGACTACAATCTTCTCTTTGAAGTAAAATCATATTCTTAAAGCTTATATTCTTTTGGTGATTTTGTATGTCTGAGAGTCAGGGAATGCCAATCTGAAGAATCAACATTGTGAGATATATGGTAGATATGAGTAGGTTGAAGCCGATTTCCAATTAAAAAATTGCTCTGGTGAGGCCTTGTAATGTATCTTATCACAGAGATGGATGACTGGAAAAAGAGGTGGCCTGGTCATGCAGCAAGAATGAGGTTTAACCTGAGAGGTCCACAGCTACTCAAGTTAAGTAAGAGATATAAAGAGAGGCCTGTGCTATGTTGGATGGGGCCCCTGTCAAGAACTTATGGAATAATAAGGAAAAAGAGTCACAGGGCATGCAAAGGAGGGGGAGTTTGGAATCTGCACTTTGGGAACAGGTCCACGTGCTGAGATTATTCAGATCCATCGAATTATCAAGGAAGCTTTCTGTGGAGAGAGCTGCTCCTCTTCATGAGCTCTAATCCAGCCAAGAACACAAACTTTGGTCAATATCCCATCTCTGTCTGTGCCTTGGCTGTTCCCCATGTCTAAAATGCTTTCCTTGTCCACCTCTACCATTTAGGATCCTTTGTTTCTTTCAAGACTCAGTTCAGATACCACCTTCTGCAAGAGGTCTTTCCTCGTCTCTCTCCCCAGCCCCTTCCCTCCCCTCCTCCTTCCCCACTTTTCCCTCCATTTGCCTGTGGCCAGTATATACTTTTTTTATATAGATATTGTTTCTTCAATTTGAATGTAAGCTCCTTGAGGGTAAGAACTGTTCATGCTTTATTTTTTCTTTTACGTGGCCAGCACTTAACATAGTAATGTGCAGTGATAAAGACTGGATCTGTGGTTTCATTGGTATAGAGATCCTAGATGAAGATACTCACTAGACTAATGCAGTTTGGCACTTTCTCTGCAATGGAGGTCTTATGGATATTTTACCTAGAATACTGAGAGGTTAAGTGACGTTCTCAGGGTCACACAGCTAGTATGTGTTTGAAGCAGGATTTGAATTCAAGATGTCCTGACTCACAACCCACCGTGCCTCACTGCTCCTAGCATATAGTAAGCTGTTCAAAAATGCTTTCTGATTAAAAGAGGAACCGCCATCTGTCCTACCAGTATTTCATAAGAACAAAGATTTAGAGCTGGAAGGGACCATAGAGACGTCATGTCTAACCCCTTCATTTTAAAAATGAGGAAACTGAGGCACAGAAAGACTAAAATGACTGGCCCAGGGTCTCATAAATGATCAATGTCAGGAGTGAGATTTGAACCCAGGTCTCACCAACTCCAAGTCATATGCTCTATCCACTATTCTAGCTGCAGTTGTACTAATACGTAATAATTGCTTATGGAAAATCACTGAGATTCCTGTTTACCTACTGTATGTGCAAAAAGCAGGACTGAATTACAGAGGATTGTATAGTTACTTCCCTGATCTGGATATATTTCTGTGTGTATCCTTCAGTAACCCAGCCATAGGAAAGTGGCCAGAAGAGTACAGTATTATTTCTAAATGTCCCCTAACCATGTGTACATGTGCTATGGCTGTTACCTCCCTGTAGGTTGGGGGCAGCTTTCTGGAACAGGCAGATCTATAATGTAAAGGCCCTTCTGAGATGGAATCTTTGAGAGGACACTTGTATGATGTCCTCTCCCATCATGTCAGCCCTTGTTGTCTTTGGGATAAGATGCAAACTTTTCTGGCATTGAAAGCCCTTCACACTATGAAGGGCTCCTTCTCCAGGTTCATGAGGTGTTATTCCCTCTCATGTACTCCCTGTCCCAGCTAAACTGGCCTATTTGTTCGTCCTTGTATGTAGCATTTCATCTCCCATCTCTGCCTTTTTCATGCTGTCACTCATACCTGGAGTATCTTCACCTCTGCCTCAAAGAATCCCTCACTCCCTTTACCTCCTACACAAGGCCTTTCTTGATCCCCACAGTTAATGGGGCTCCATTTCCCAAAATTACTTTGTATGTGTGTTCCTATATGTCATTTACCTCCAAAAGAATGTAAGCTCCTTGAGGGAATTTTCATTGTGATGCTTTCATTTGTATCACCAGTGTTTTGCCAAATGAATCAGTTACTTCATTGATTGATTATTCCACTGGAGAAAGCACAAATAAGCTAATATAACAAATATCCTTCATTTTCAGTGAAATACCAAGATGTATCATTGGCTCCTGTATTCCCTAAAAGCTTCCTGCATTGCTCCCCTTGTCCTTTCACCTACAACCATACCCACACTAAAATCACTTTGCTAATTAGGCTGGGTAACCCTGGCATTTAACCCCCTTGAGCCTCAGTTTCCTAACCTGTAAAATGAGAGGCTTAGACTAGGTGATCTTTGATCTCTCCTCCTGCTGCGGACCTGTGCTTCTATGATATTGTAAAGTCACTTAATTTTTCTGAGTGCCTCAGGCTACTCCCAAATTAAGTCTATTCAGACTTGTTAAGTCCTGCCTCGCTTCCCAAAACTGACAAAAACACAGATGCTTTCCATATTTGTACATGGCCCATGGAGCAGATGCATTTCTAGACCTATAGAATCACCTTTACCTTTTCATGCTTTAAATGTAAAAGAAAACAAAATCCATAATGGGGGGCGTGGCCTATTGGAAGTTGACACACTCCTTTTTTCCCCCCAATAGTGCCCTTTAATTAACATTGCTGGGATAACTTAGCATTTTTTGATATTGGGACTTTGCCTTGTTGCTTAATAGGAAGAATATAATGGAAAGGCCTTTAAAGCCTACCAGAAAGAAAATCAAGCAAGAAAACTTTTGATGAAATGCACCCAGAAAGGTGAATAGGGGAACCTGGGGCATTTTATTCATTACCTCACTGCTGATTTTTCCTACAGTTTTTGTACAAAGCAGGTTGGTGTCTGCATGAGCTTTAAATTTTTTTTTAAATCCTTCTAGGGAAAAGAATGGAGGAAGCAGTTCCCACTGCCAGCAGTGCCTTTCTTCCTGCAGTCTTTCAGTCTTCTGGTTGACTTTGAGAAGGGAGGGAAGGTGCTGCTAGGACAGATCCTAAGGTTATCCACTCAGCAGGGTTCTTCAGTTGGGTTTCCTCCACTGACACCCCATCTGACCTCTCCACATCGTGCTTTTCTCTCCACTTTTCCCCTTTCCGTTGTCCCCATTCCCTTGATTGTAAATGAGCTGACCCAAGCCCAGAAAAGATGAAGCAGTTCTGACTCACCAACATTCCAGAAAGCAACAGCATCCCCAAAGACATGTGACATCCCTCACCCTGTCACCACATGGGCCCTCCAGGCAGGGTGACTTCAAGTCCTTAGCTGGAGGTTGAGCTTGATGGCAGGCCCACTTTCCACTGTGACATTGGCACTCAATTGAACCTGGAAACACAAAGCTCAGATCAGCCAGATCTTTTTTTTTCCATGGAGTCAAGTTGAAATAGTTTATAAAGAGAGGGTGTCCAAGTGGCAGCAACTCCTCGCTACTAAGAACATTTCTATCTGTAGATCTATAACTTCATAAAGAAAGGAATCCAATGAGGCCCAACCCCAGCAGTGTGTGGGTTCCCCAGGGGACTGATGAATCTGCCCATGCGTTCTGCTAGCATGTCATAGCTGGAGGGCATCTCCACCTGTGCCATTATATCTGCATTGTTTCTGAAGTGCTAGTGCCCATGAAGCACCATACAGACTGCAAAGAAAGTAGGCAATTTTTTCAAGAGGTTTTTTTTTTTTTTAATTCTCAGTCAAATGAGGAACTGAATGCAGGGCATGTTGAAATGAACAGGGGCTATATTGTCATAGAAGGCCTGGCAAGGTTTTGTAATAGAGTGCAAAGAATTGCACAGAAAACACTTTTTTATTCCTCAAAATAATTCCCTTTACTATTTGAATATAAAAATAGTTCTTGTACATAAAACAGTTAAGCAGACCAGAAAAAAAATGCCTTCTACAGACCATTTTGTATAGAATAACCAGGGGCCACAGACCAATAAAGCTGTTCTCATTACTTTCTCAGCTGCTTTCCTGATGGGATACCATTTCTAAGTCCCAGACTCTAATCAGAGTTCCCATTATGTTGCAGTTTCTTCTAGGAGTTTTCAGAATTGTCATACTGAATGGGCCCGCTATTGTTTGAAGTGAGAGCCAGAGTCAAGACCTGCTCAATTGACTGAAAAGAAAATGTCCAATGGGAAAGCCGTGGCAAGGGAAAACTATTTTCATCCCATTAGATGTGAGCTCCTTAAGATAGGGAGCAAAACTGTCTTTTGTCTTTCTTTGAATCTTGAGAGCTTAGCACAGTGCCTGGCACATAGAAGGTGATTAATAAATGTTCATTGACTAATTAATATTTTAAAAAGTCAGCATCTAATGCTCATCTTATTGTAAAACTCCTTCCACATACTCAGTATTTGTCTTTTATGTATCTGTTTGTAAACATGTTGCTCGTCCCACACACGCTCCCACACTCTCAAGAGAAAGGGTTATTTTACCCTTCTTTATTTTGAGAGAGAATGGGGCCTAGTAGATAGAGGGCCAGCCTAGGAACAAGCAAGAACCTTGGTTCAAGCCCGACTTCTGAAGTGTCCCAGCTGGGTGACCCTGTGTAAGTCACTTAACATGTCCAAGAACTCTCCAGTATACTCTCAGAATGTGTGCCGATCTATAGAGACTTCTCTATATGAACGAAATCACAAGTTTAACCCTGTTTCCAACTCCCTGGATACCTAGCTAGCTCTCAGCACAGAGCCTAGCACTCAGTAAGCAATGAATAAATGTGGATTGGTGTATTACTTCAGTTAATAGGAAGACACATGTGTTGTATTTGGAGATTTACTCCTCAAATGTGACATATAATAATGTAATTATTGAGACTTCTAGGTGAAACTTTGGCTAGAGTATTGGACGTGGAGTCAGGAAGACCTGAGTTCAAATGCAGCCTCAGATGCTCACTAGCTGGGTGACCCTGGGCAAGTCACAATTTCTGCCTGACTCAGTGTCCTCAACCATAAAATGAGGATCATTAAAATACCTACTTCAGAGGGCTGTTGTAAGGATCGATTGGGATGATATTTGTTGCTTAGCACAGTTCCTGGCACATAATAGGTACTTAATAAATGTTCATTCTTTCCCAAATGTCCCTAATGTCTAAATTACAGATAACAATACAAATAGATATTACCATGGGATATTATTATGGTATTCCATGAACTCGATTTACACGGTGCCCAATATCCAGGCAAAAGGTAAACTATGTAGGTCTGTATGTTTGGAATCCATGATGTCAAATATCCTGTCACTTATAAATACTCTAATTCTGAATTTTCTTTTTTATCCAGTCTGGATCCAATGCTCCCCTATTTCAGTAATGTGCTTGACACATCCTTAGAATCTCCAGGTCTTAACCTTTGCTTCTTCCTTCATTGCTTGTCCACAGCTATGGAGAAGTGCTAAAATGCACTTTCTCCTTGTCCTGTTCTTGGGTTGCCTATGAATGCTGGAGAAAATCAAAACCCAACATTGATGGGATCCACTATGTTGTCATCTTCTTTAACTCACCCTAGCTAGGCCCTCCCTTATAAATCATCAGTCCTCTTCTATGTTATGAATTCGCTATCAATTCCCCACAACTAGCATAAAGGATAGCTTTGTGTAGAGAGAGGCTGGAAGCAGGGAGACCCATTAGGAGACTATTTTTATCACCCAGGGTATGAAGGATGAAGGCTTGACCTGGTGTGGTGACTACATGAATAGAGAGAAAGAGCTGACATAAGAGTGATTGTAGTAGCAGAAATGATAAGATTTGAGCCACTGATTGAACATGGCAGATGATAGGAAATGAAGCATCAAACAAAGGCAAATCTTTGCTGCATTTACCTAACGTCTGTATGTAACCACAGAACTGAAAACAATAGTAGATGCATAGTTTGCACCTGATTACTCAGCAGTTCATCAAATTGACATATGATTGAGCAGGCTTCCTCACAAATTCAATATAAGCCTGCTGTTTTACAGTCAGGTTCTTTTTTAGTTGTATTATGGGCTGAGTCTACTGAATTGGGCTTCAAAGCCTGTCTTTTGGCATGTACTTGCTCTGTGACCTTGGGCAATTGCTTCTCTGGGCCTCAGTTTTTCACATTTTGAAAATGTAAAGTTTGGACTAAATGATCCTTAATGTCCCTTTCAGTCTTACTTCCAATGTCATATGGAACAGTGTTTCAGTTTAATCAGATAATCAACAATAGTAGAATAATAGATATAGGGCTAAGAGAGGCCCTACTTGTCACTGAGTCCAATATCCTCAATTTACAGGTAAGAAGAATAAGGCCTAGCAAGAATAAATTGCTTTCCCAGGGCCAAACAAGTTCTAAGTAGTGGAGATGGCATTGAAAGCCAGGTCTTCTGAATCTATGCCCATGGACTGCACAGCTTCCATCTATGTGCATGGGGTTGATTCAATCAGTCTAGAGTGTAGTTACAGAATTTAAAGGAACAGACACCCAGACAGATGACCAAAACCAGAGAAAGAGACAGAGAGAGACCAAAGGATACACTTTCTTGACAATGGTCCCCTGGTATGGAAAGAATCATTGAGTCACAAGATCTGGATTCAAGTCCCAACTATTACATGTAATAGTTCAGGGATCAATGTCTCAGAATATTAATTTCTTTAAAATACACTTGAACTATATATGATACAGGGATATTATAATGAAAGTATTTTGTGAAACTTAAAGCATTTAGTTCCTGGCATATAGTAAGTGCTTAATAAATCCTTATTTATTGATTACATAAATATGAGCTATTATTACTGTGAAATTGCTTAATATTTTACTGCAAGCTGCAAAATGTTACAATTGCGATCATTCAGAAAACAAAAATGCAGCATTAGAGCCTGGGAAATTGTAAATGATGTTGAAGATATCATGCAATGTCTGGCATATTACCTAGTCATAAATACAGTTGTTTAAAATGACATTGAATCCTTTTAAATATATTGCTTGCTCAGGAAATTTTAGATCTTGCCACGGTTGAGTAAGGAGTTTGAATTTTCAAATTGGATTAAAAAAACCCAGAAATAGTATTGTGTGCTATTTATATTTCTTATGTTTTAGACAATTCAGAAATATTGATTAATATTATAAGAATTTATCTACTGGCATTTTTCTACCATAGGTGGAAGTTAAATGGAACAGATGTTGACATTGGTATGGATTTCCGCTACAGTGTGGTTGAAGGCAGCTTGTTGATCAATAGCCCCAATAAAACCCAAGATGCTGGAACATACCAGTGCATAGCAACAAACTCATTTGGAACAATTGTGAGCAAGGAAGCAAAACTTCAGTTTGCTTGTAAGTAGCAATTAAATCACGTGGCAAAAACAGCATTCCATTTCTGTACCATTATGCCAAGAAACAGTAAAAACTGTTCCTTTAAAAAGGAAACACAAATATTTTTTAATCTGTTGTATAATGTTCTTTTCTGAGATGTCTCATTTTATTTGGAAAATATGATTTGTAGGATAATTCGTTAAATCTGAGTGGGAAGAGAAAGTTCTATTTTTATGAGCGTTGAGATATTTTGGTGGCGTGTTGCTTTGTATGCACTTCGTATCCAGCTAGGGAGTGAGGGAAGCCACCTGGTAACTGAGAACAGTTTATAACTATTTTAATCACTAAACTGTGATGGTGGTTAATGGCTTTAAAGATGCAAACACACACAAACTATATTTTGAAATAGTAAATTCATAATAGATTCTATGAGCAGGTGTGGCAGGCATAGCCTTCATTTCAGAAGATCTGGTAGAAACTGAAGGTTCAGCCACATTTTTAAAGGGTTTTCTGTTTACATCATTAGTAATTTCCTTGTGTAACATTCAGACTACTTCGGTAGTATACTAATGCTGGAGGTCTAGTGGCAATAACATTGCAGAACATTCTCATTAACAAAAGCCTCCCAGGGAACACAACATTGAATACAACTAATATCCAATGCTTTAATCTATTACTGCCATTCAGATGCATTTTCATTAGCTGAGAAATGAATTTTCTAAGTAGTATGTGTGTGTGAATTTCAGGATTATATTATTTGTGGAGATCTACTAAGATATTGCTTCTAAATATTCTTAGGAGCAGGAATTGATAGGAGGATAATATGACTGATTGAAAGCTATGCAGGCAAAATCCAGTCATTAATCAAGCAATTCCTTAATCTGTACATAATACAACTGTAGGATTTGTATATAATACAACTGTAGGATCACTATCTCACTTGATCTAGAATGGAATTTGATGTTATATAGTCCAGGCCCCCTCACGCCCATTTTACAGATGAGAAAACAAAGCATTAGAGAGCCTGAGTGACTCGACAGAGTTAATACTTGCACCCATGTCATCTGACATCAAATTCAGTTCTTTTTTCACTAAACACATTGTCTTAACAACATCCCACAACAAAACAACTTAGTACGTTGTAAACTCCCACGCAAAACTGATATGAATCCAAACCCCCCAATTTCTTCCATTTCTTTCATTGAAGTCAGCTCTTCCCCCTTGTCAGGTTCTTTTGATGTCAAATGCAGCCATCTCTCTATGGTAGCATGCTATATTGGCAGCATAAGTTGAACTTGAAGTCAATATGTTAAGTCCTTTGATAGCATCAATGTGGGAACTCCTTCCAAAGATATAGCTCATCACCCATTTGTAGCTTTTTAGTTTATTGTTATTAATTAATTAAGTTATTAATATAACATATGCTTAGCGAGCTGTCTTAGACTCAGAAAAATTAAATAATTTACCCTTAGTCACACAGCTAATAAATGAGACAAGCAGAATTGGAACCCAGAGTTTCTTGACTTTAGGTCCTTTGCTCTTTTCATTATTCCATGCTACTTCCGACTGGACTTTATGATCTGTTGACCCAGACTAAAATGTCACAACCATTATTAACATTTATACTGTTGGATTCTCTTTATATTATATATCAACTAAAACATACAGATGATGTGGATTTATAGAATATGGATTGCAGGTAAACCCCCCATCCTGTATTTGTATGAATTTATTTTCTCTTTACCTAAATTTTGCTTATATTCATTTCTATGAAATCTCATAAGGGTTCATGGTTTCTGAACCATGGTTCATCATTGTTTGTCTCTTATTCCAGCCATGGAGATAATTGGGACTCCTGATTCTATCATACAGTATTTTTGCTATGACTCCCAGCATTATGTCACCCAAAAATTTGATAGTCATGACTTGCAATTCTTCATCCAAGTCACTGATAAAAATGTTTAGCAAGATAGAACCAAGTAAAGAACCCTGCAGGACATTCCAGCTGACATGGATTGATTGGTCAACACTTGTTCAGTACCATGGCTCAGTACCAGTTAGACAAACATTTAAGTGCCTGCTGTGTGCAGAGAAGGACTCACTAGGCCCTGAGAGAGATGTAGTGTTTAGAGAACAACTGGTCCTTGGCCTCATGGAGTATACAGTGGAACAGAGGAATATGGCATATACTCAAATGACTGTAACATGAAATAATAAATGGGTAGCATTTAAGAGCAAACAAAGGCCTGTGTGAAGATCAAGAGTCATTGCTGATTGGAAGGATAAGGAAAGGTTTCGTAAATAAAACATCACTTGACTTGGGTTTTAAGAGATTGGGAGAAATTCAATAGGTGATAAGTAGAGAAGTGGAGAGGGCATTCCTGGCACAGTAAAGAGAACAAGCAAAGTTGACAAAGTGTGAAAATTCACGGTTTATATGGCACAACAAGTAGTCAAATTTAGTTATATCATCAGTCATATGCACAGGCATCAAATGACATGTTGTCAGAGAAGTAGGTTGATACCAGATTGTGGGGGGTCTTAAATTCCAGGGAAAGGTGTCTGAACTTGATTTAATAAAGCAATAAAGAGCCATTGAAGGATTTTGATAAGAATATTGAAAATAATTCTGGTTGGAGGAGGCTTTAGAAGGAACATAGAGGTAGATTCCTCTAGTTGAGGTGGGAGCTAATGGGGTCCATATTTAAAGTGGTAATAATGAAAGAGGAAAGATATTGCACAGGTAAAATGGACAGAATTTGGTAACTGAGAGAAAAGGGAGAAGAGTCTGAGAAAACACTAAGGTTCCAAATCTAATCTGCTGAGTGAATGGTGATTCCTCTAAAATAAAAAGTGAATTCAGAAGAAGGAAGACATTTTGGTGAAAAAATTAGCTGATGTTAACAATCTGGAGTTTGAAGAGCTATTGGGACATAAGTTAAAGCTATCCTGTGGGCAGTTGGAGGTGTGAGACTGGAGCTCTGGAGGAAAGTCCAAGTTGGAGAGCAGATCTGAAAATCATTTGCATCAAGGTAATAGTTGATATGGGCATAAGTGAAATTTCCCAGGAGGAGATGAGGATAGGACTTCAGAGAACATCTACTTCAAAGAGTTGGGAAGAAGACAAGAAGACAGCAAAAGAGACAGAGAAACAGTTATAAAAGGTGAAGAAAGTCCAGAAGAGTGTCATTGTCTTAAAGCAAAGGAGAAGAGATTATGCAGGAGAAGTCTGACATTCTACAGGTAGGTCAAGGAGGAAGAGGATTGAAAAACTCCTTCGGATTTAGTGATTAGTATGTCCTTAGTAACCTTGAAGAGCAATTTCCATATAATTTGGGGGATAGAAACTAAAATGAAAAGAATAGCAGAATGGCAAGTTAAGTAAAGCCTTCAAGTAGAAACTTTTTAAAGCAGTTTTATAATAAAAAAAAAAGAAAGAAAAATGATAGGACAGTAGCTATGTAGCAGAGAGGGAGTCAAGGGAAAGTTCTTTCATCCTATGCTCCCATTTTCCTTGGGAAATTGCCACTTTGATCCTTCCTTGCCTCTCTCATCTTTAATTTATACCTATCCCTATCAAGGAAGAAGCATAAAAAAGCAATGAGTTCTTTTTTTAAAAAATTTATTTATTTTATTTTTAATTTATCTAATAAAGCAAGTTTTTCTATAATATAGTATTTTTTTAAAAAAAGATTGCACATGAAACTGCATATCTATTATGTACAATTTGCTATTCCTTTTAAATATATAATAAAGTTAGCACATAAATTTCTTTTTTTTTTCCTTTTTCTTCCCTCCCCATGTCTGAGTTCAAATCTCATCTCTGATGGTTACAACCCACATGACCTCGGGAAAGTCGCTTGAATTCCCTGGGCCTTGATTTCCTTAACTATAAATGAAGGAATTTGATTTGACTCTCTCTGAGATTCCTTCTAGCTCTAGAGTTCTGATCCTAATAATGACTCTAACTTACTAGTGACTATAATGACTCAGTTTCTCCTGTCAACAAATGGGACCATGTCTTGACCTTTGTCCCCTTAAGCTATCATCCCTTTAAGTTCATACTTTACCATAGTAATTTTCTAGGAAGTGCCTATACTACTGCCTCCATTTCTTCATGGCTCACTGATTCTTTGTACCTTTGTACCTCAGCTTATGATCCCAGTAGTCTACTGCTCTCTCACAAGCTATCCGCGATCTCTTAATTGCCAAGTCAAATGACTTTCTCAGCCTACCTTTCTATGACATTTCTGCAATTGATGATTATTACTATGGTTGACCACCACCTTCTCCTGGATTGTCTTTTCTTTTTTGGTTTCCATATTAATTCTTTCGCCCAGTTCTTTTCCTACCTCACCTTCTGCTGCTCTCACTCTGCTTTGTGGGCTCCCCCAAAGGTTCTCTCTCCTGAACTTCTGTCTCTCATAATTCCAGGTGGATGTCCTGGCACCTCAAATTCAATATATACAATAGAGACCTTATCATCTCCCCTCTCTAAATTTTCCCGGACATAAATTTCCTCATTCCTTTGATGGTATCACTATCTTCCAAATACCCAAGTTCTAAAACTTGACCTCATCTTTGAATCTCCTCTCTTATCCTCATTTTCAATCAGCTTCTAAGTCTTTGGGCCATTGGTTTAAAGATGCCTTGACAACTAAGGAATCATAGGATCGTAGGTTTAGAGCTAGAAGGCCCTTCTAGTACAACCCCTTCATTTTAGTGATTAGAGAACTGAGGCCTAAAGAGATTTGTTCAAGATAGCAAAGGTCTATAAGATCATAGATTTAGAGCTAGAAAAGACTTTAGAGGCCAATGAGTCCAACATTCTCATTTTACCAGTGAGAAAATGAATTCATACAGAGTTTAAGTGACTTAACCAAAGTCATTGGGCTAGTAAATATCTGAATTTGTTTTTGAACCCCGGCCTTCCTTACTACAAGTCCAGTGTCATAGCCATGATACCAGGCTCTCTCTCAGATAGTAAGTGATAAAACCATGATTTAAACTAGGTGCTGTGA